GAGAGAGAGAAGAGAGAAGAGAGGAGGGAGGTGAGAAGGAGGGGGAGAGTGGGAGGGAAGGAGGAAGGGAGAGAGAGGCTATAAACCAGGCAGGAAGAATGCTAACAAGGCCCATGCTTATGGAAATATTTCTGTTTCCTCATCTTCATGCCCTCTTCCTGGGCGGAGCAGCATTCTTTATCATCTTCCAGACAGAGGACCCGTCGAGTCTGGGAGAGTTCTCTGACTACCCTACAGCACTGTTCAGCACCTTTGAGCTCTTCCTCACCATCATCGATGGCCCCGCCAACTATGATGTGGACCTGCCCTTCATGTACAGCGTCACCTACGCCTCCTTCGCCATCATTGCCACGCTACTCATGCTCAACCTGTTCATCGCCATGATGGGCGACACCCACTGGCGAGTGGCCCAGGAGCGAGATGAGCTCTGGAGGGCCCAGGTGAGATAATTAGTGTCAGTCTTGCTAAGGGCCAGGGGTTGGAGAGAACAGTCCAAGTGGAGTCTGTTCTGATGGGCCACTCTTAGGAGGGTCATAGAATAATTTGGTGGGGCTGTCAGCTCCGTAAGGCTTATATAAATTGCAGGCACTCATAGATGGGTTCCACGGGAAGAAACATAGAAACGAAGAAAGATGGAGGTGCTGCTATTGGCCCCAGATGAGAAGCAGATCCCAGATCCACTACTCTTTCTTGAATCTTTTGGAGAATGGAAATCCTTTTGTTTTTGTGTATTCCATTTTTTAGTTTTGTAGCATATCTTTTATTTGATTCTAGAAATCTCTAGTTCTCCATGATTTTTTTTCTTTGTAGAATCATAAAATAGAATTTAAACATCACACTTTATCTACTTAAGAACTTTATCTACTTAACATCATCAGATACTGGTCAAAGGACACTTATTATATTCTTTAATGCTAAGTAAGACCTTGTTATTTTGCATATGTGAACAAGAGTTGGGGAACACAGTTTTTTTCTTTTTCTATTTTGAAAGCCTTTGTGGTTCTATAGGTTTGTTATGGCTTTAGCTAGATAGATCTCCCCAAGTTTTCATGTGTCCATAGGTGGTGCTTTTTGGAGGTGGCTGGATCAAGGGTGTGTGAATATATATTAAGGATGTGTAAGGGGCTGAAGAGATAGCTCAGTAAAATAAGCACTTGCCTGGAAAGCACAAGGTTCTGAGTTCAATTCCCGGTACCACACACACAAAAAAGAATATAATTTAGGGCACACCAAATATTTCAGTGGGTTAAAGTGCCTGCTTAAGCAGACACAGGGGCCAGGAGTTCCATCCCCAGGCCTGTTGAGCAGGCCCCAACCCTTTGGCATGCTGAGATAGCAACTGAGACTGGGCATGGTGGCGCAGGCCTGCAATCCCAGCTCTTGGGAGGCTGTAAACAGGTGGGTCACTATGAATCAGATGTAGTACTGAGACCCTGAATGCCTTGTAGACCCTTCCCTAAAATACAGAAAAAAAAAAGCAGGATGTGTGAGGATGGATTAGATATGTGATAATTAAATTGGTCCACTGATTGGTTTAGCATAGTGTATGGGTGTAGATAATGAGATACCCCGCCCTGGATGTGGTTGGCATCACCCAAAATGCTTGTGTGCTAGATGAGCTAAAAGGGAGATGTAGGTTTGCTGCTGCTGCTTGCAGCTTCCTGCCTGCTACGCCATGGACTATTTCTCTCTGTCATACCCCTCTGCCGTGCCGCCTTACATTGGAGCCAGGCAACCATGGACTGTGAGCCAAACTAAACCTTCTCTCCTTTAACTGGTGAGCGGCTAGTAGTTTGTCTTAGCAGTGATAAAAGTAACCAACAGAGTGTGTAGTGAACTGAGACCTACCTTCCTACCATTCCATTGTTTGGCCCTAGAAAATTCCCGCTCCGATTCCAGAGAGTACATCCTTCTGTGTGTGCATTACCAGTCTGACTTCTTTGTCATAGAGCAGTATCCCTCAGAGAATGCTGTGTGTCGTTGAATATCCTGGACTGTGATATGAACTCTTTTAGAGACAAGTGCCCAAACTGTGACCTGAAACCCACTTACTTATTGGAAAGGGCCAACACTGCAATTAAACCCAAGTATAAGGTTTTAGTTTAGAAGAAGCAACTCAAATATTAACATCTTTTATCTTATTAGAAAAACAAACAACACACGTCATAGGTTTGCCACCAATGGGGAGTAGGGGCATCATCTACATCTCTGAGGTAAAACAGACACAAAGCAGATGAGTTCCTAGAAGGCAGTGGTAAGTGCCCAGAGGACAAGCTTTTAGGAGGAGATGCAATGCCTGAGTTTAACTAGAAAGTTAGACAATGGAAGTTAAGATTAATACCCCTCAAACTAGGTAAGAGTTAGCTGGTTGGGAGTGATACAGCTTAAGGTTTATAGCAATGAGGACTCATAATTACAGGAACAGAAAACCAAACTCAAACAGACTTTTTCTTTTAGTAATAGAAGAAGTACCGATTCTCATGAGAGGAAAGTGTAGAGAATTAAACCATCTTTAAGGATGTCTAACTGGAGCCAGGTCTCCATCTCACAAATTCAGTGGGTTTCCCTGTTCTGTGCTTTTCCCTCCTGATTCCTTTTTCTAAGAAAAGGTCTGCCATCATGTTGTTAAGATAATTTATAGAAGCTCCAAACTCCAGAAGAGATGAGTCAATGCCTGGAATTGCACAACCCTAGGGCTCACATTGTTGCTGTGTTGAGTGAATCTCCTGAGGCTGTGGAGGGCTGCAAAATTTCAAAGGAAGTCTTTAACTCCAGCAAACTCTGCCTGAGTTCCATATACTGGCAGTGGGTTGGGGTCTTGGATCCATCTTTGAGTCTCAGTAAAACCAGACTAGAGCAGTGGTGGTGGCAGCTGCAGCAGTGAGGTCATCCTTCCTCAGTCTGTTGAAGAAGATAGATGAACACAGGAAGACCAGGAGCAACCAGGCTACACCAACCAGTGAACTCTGAGTGGAGGAGGAGAGCTGGGACCTGATACCCAAAAGAAAGGGAGTGCCTAAGGAGAGTCACACGGAGAGAAAACACTCTCTCAGGCTCTCACAGAGAGCAAATTGGTCAAGCAATGGCTGTGACTCATCCACATGGCTGACGCTGACAAAGGATCTACAAACTGTGGTTCAGGGTTTCAGGGTAAATCCTGAGGGGATTTAACTGACCTTATCAGTTACAAAAGTTACATTTCTTATTATATAGGTCTTGCTTTGTCTTGGTCTGAACCATCCAGCAGAAAAGTATAAAAACAAAGTATAAAACATAAAGCCATATTAATATGCTGAGCTGTAAAAGGATCAAGCCAACAACTTCTGAAATTGCCAGTCCTACAGATAACCCACTACTATTGTGGGATACTGGACTATATTGGATTATTTTGCTGAATTCACACACCTACAATATTTAAAAGACAATGGAATACCCATCTCTGACAAAACTAAACAAAAAAAGTGGATACAAATGAATGACCATTTTGTATCTGTATATTCAAAATAGTTAGGATAGATATACAGCTGCATTCTCTTAATTCAAGGAATAGAAAAATTTGTTCTAGTAGTGTTTGTGGACAGGACATCATGTCTGCGTCTTGTATAATGAATAATCAATAAGACAAAAATATGCAATGCATTAATTATTGAAACTGCTAGTAATCGGTTTTGAAACTGTCTCATGGCAATTTGTTTCTCAATAAATTATTTTAAAAATAAAATAAAAACAAAACATGAGAGATAAAAGAAAAAAATAAAACAAAGGAAAGGGAGGCTGAATGATGGCTGGAAAACCACAGAAATCCTCCTTGAGGAAAAGAGAGCTACATAGAAAAGAGAACAGGATGACTGGAAGTCTGGAAGTGGGAGAGAACTTTGCACAACTATAAAAACTGAGAGTGAAGAAATAAGGCACCCGGGAAGTGGAAGATGAGAACACAGAGAAATGGCTATTTCGAGAATTGTCAGCTCATGTATTTTGGTGTGGATTTGAAAATAGCATAGTATATCAAATCTATGATCTACCTTCTATTCTTAGTAGTGAGGCTAAAATAAAATCCTCATCAAATGTTCAACCCTTGAAAAAATTGTCAGCTCCTTCAATCAATAAGACTTTGTGGCCCCATCTCATCCTGACTAACCTCGGTCGCAGTGGCAGTAGGTCCTGGTCCTTTTGAAATCCAAATGTTGCTAAGGCAGCTGCATAGTCTGTGAGGAGCACAGGCCTTTCCTTGATTTTGTGCACTTAATGCCACTCACTGTAAATAGTTTCTAAAATTAAGTCTCTCAGCAAACCTGTAACTGCCTCTTACCATGTTTATGATTCACTAAAATTTTGAAAATAGTTTATGTAAGTGAGCTTCATCAGTGTAAATGAAATACTTGGCATTTGAAATTTCTTAAATTTCATATTATTGGTTTTAGAGCAGCATTATGCTTAGGTAAGATTGGATCTTACTGGGCTTTTTTCACCCCACACATTATTTCCCTTCCCAGTTGTATGCCATAAGGATATTTGCTAAGTTATGTTTCATCTCGCTGTTAATGAGGGCAGGATAAAGAACAAAACATGCACATGCTATTAGAATTTATCCTGCCAAGTGTGCAGCCGTTGATCAACACTTTCCCATTTGAACATATAGATGCTAATTTGCTGCAAATTTCCTGAACTGGGGTGGCAATATTTCATCCCTGAGATCATAGCAGTTCCTTTAATCACTTTATTTAAGTCAAGATAATTACAGCAGGTGTTATGCCTTTCCATTTGTACTTCTTCTTTTGAGTTCTTATACTAGGGAAACTATATGACATTTACACATGTGGGTCTGGTTTATTTCACTTATGAGTATATCTTCAAGTGGCATCCACTTCAATATACACAAATACATATATTAAAAAATGAATAAAAAAGAAGTTGTACCCAAAAATAAATAAATAAAAAATAAACATAAAAAAAGATCATTGCTCTGCAGGTTTCTTAGGAGAAAGAAAAAGAGATCAGTTGGAAATGACTCAAATTATTCCACGACTCTGAATAATAATGGATGAGTTCTTATTTTATTCAACAATATGCTTTTTCTGATGAGAGAAGCAGGGCGGTACAGGCTTAGGGCGGAGTAGAGGTGCCCATTAGTGGCCCTCACCAGTGGCCTCTGGGATCCTCATTTCATGGGTTGCTTTGTGTGTCCTCTGTGCGCCTGTATCTTTCTGAACTTCATGACTGTCTCTTAAGCTTTTTCTCTACCTGCTACCTCCCTCTAGGTTGTGGCCACCACTGTGCTGCTGGAAAGGAAAATGCCCCGTTTCCTGTGGCCCCGCTCAGGGATCTGCGGGTACGACTACGGCCTGGGGGATCGATGGTTCCTGCGGTGAGTGACCATGGGCACATGTGACCTGAGGATGTCTTCTGCAGTGGTCGTGTGGGCACCTGCACCACACCGCCTTGAAAAAAAATGGGCCCCAAATTAAGGAATTATTAACAATGCAGCTCAGGACAGCCATGGGGGAAAGGTTACACGTATGTGACTGCACTCAGAGGAGGGTTCGAGTTTGTGGCACACACAGCTTGGTTCAATCTTCTTCCTTCCTGGCCTCTGTTTCAAGGCCTCTGATCTTGAATCTAAATTTGCCCTTCATACCTTTTCTTGTCTTTTGACCTGGTTCTCTTTACTCTTCACACGCATTTCCTGAATTACATCCTCTCAAACTTGTGGTACCTGTATGTCCTGGTTGTCTCTGTTTTCTCTTCACGTTCCCATCTTTGGCAGCAGACTTTTCCCTCCATTGCCTGACTGACTGTTGGGCCTACTTCAGATCCTTCTCATACTTGCCTCTACTCTCATCCTCATCTTATTCCTCCCTGTTGCTTTTCCTGCTTCAGTCTGCTCCTGTCCTTCTCTTTACCCAAGATTCCGCTTCCTCCACATGCGTCTGTGCATCTCCCTGAGGTCTATCCATCTCTCCTCACGTTCAGTGAGCTCTTTCTACTTCCCCCCACCAGGGTTGAGAACCATCAGGACCAGAATCCTTTGCGAGTGCTTCGCTATGTGGAAGCTTTCAAAAGCTCAGACAAGGAGGAGGAGGAGGAGGAGGAGGAAGAGGAGGAGCAAGAGCAGTTCTCTGAGAAACAGCTCTCTGGGAATGAAAGTGGGACCCTGGCCAGAGCCTCCCTGTCCCTCCAGGGCCCCTCCCTGTCCAGGCACACGTCTCAAAGCAGCAGCAGTCACAGGGGCTGGGAGATTCTTCGTCGGAACACACTGGGACACTTGAATCTTGGACTGGACATTGGTGAGGGAGATGGAGAGGAGGTATATAGTTTCTGATCAGAATTCCTGTGATTGGTGACCTGCGAGGGGATGGAGAAGGAGATGTCTACTTACGCAATTACCTAACTTTGATGCCTGGCAATCTTCCAGTGGTCTGAGTAGAGTAATTCCTAGAAGGCCTTATCTCACCAGCATCTCTGGAGATGCGAAATGCTCACGAATTGCAGCCTGTACCTTGCAGGTTGGTGAAAATCTCATACTTTAAGAAAAGCAAGTATCTTTTTGAACAAACTTGAATCCAGCTATTAAACCCATGAGGAAAGGAAGATGGATTGATACTTGAACAACTCTTTTCTGCCCCAGGCAGGCAGCAGAAGGTAGCAAGCTGTTGGCTCTGTCTGGTTCTCATGGTCTTAATGTGGGAAGGACTGAGCACTGTCTAGAGGGTGCAGCCTTTCTTACTTCCCAAAACCCATTTGGACTCTGTCCACACCCGGCAACCAAACAACTAGAAAATTGCAAGAAGAACAGTTCCCTATCCTTGCTTTCTTTAAATTTTCTCTTTTGGAGTAAAATACATGAATAATCTACCCTTATTCATCCTCCATGGGCACATTTTTTTCATCATTACAAACTAAAACTCACACCTATGAAGCAATGATTCCCCGCAGTCTGTCCCTTAAGTCTCTGATAATCAACCTTGTTCTCAGAATCGGGCTTCCTTATATATGCCATGTAAGTAGAACCGAGCAACCCCAGTGCTGTTGTGTCTAGTTTATTTGTTTAAAGTTATTTAGGTTTTGACCTTCTGTAGCAGGTATCAACTTTTTTCTGGTGGTGGTACTGGGGATCAAACTTGGGACCTTGCGCTTGCAAGGCAGGTGCTTATGCCACTGAGCTATGTTCCTTTCCCCAGAACTTCATTTCTTTTTAACTTCGAATGATGTTCCCTTCTGCACACCACACATACCTGCACACACACACACACACACACACACACACACACACGCCTTGTTTATTCATTCATCTACCAATGTACAGTTGGATCTTTCACATTTTTGTACTGTGAATAATGCTATAAAAATGGAACTGAAAACACCTATTTAAGTTCCTGCTTTAAATTTCTTTGGGGGTATATCTACAGACAGAATCGCTGTATATTTTATATCTAAGAAATTGCCATAGTGTTTCCTACATTTCACTATGTGTGTTCCCTTCTAATCTCATTATAGTTTTGATTTGCTTATCCCTAAAGATTAAGGATATTAAGCATAGTTTCTCATGCTTCTCTATGAGACATTTATAAATTTTTAGAAAATGTTTATTCAAGTGTGTTGACTTATTTTGAGTTGGACTGTTTTATTATCATAGAGTTGCTTGATCCTTGCAGATCTGAGGGTCACCGTGGAAGTTTTGCACCCTATCTGCATCCTGGTATACTTTTTTAAAATTAATTTTGTTGAGAAACAAATAGCGATGAGACAGTTTCAAAACAGGTTAGTAGGACAGTTACAATAATTAATACATTGCACATTGTTGTCTTCATAGTAGCTATTCAGAGTACAAGATACAGACATGATATTCTGTCCAAACACTATTAGTACAAATCTTTCTTCTCATTGAATTAAGAAAAAGTAGTTGGGGCCAGGGAGATGGCTCAGTAGAATAAGCACTTCCCTGGCAAGAGCAAGGGTCTGAGTTCAATCCCTGGTTCTGGCAAAAAAAAAGAAAGAAAAAGTAGCTGTATATCTATCCTAACTATTTTGTATATACAAATACAAAATGGTCCTTCATTTATATCCTCCTTTTCTGTTTAATTTTGTCAGAGATGGGTATTCCATTGTCACTTAAATATTATAGGTACATGAATTCAGCAAAACATTCCAATATAGTCCAGTAGTCCATAGTAGTAGTGGGTTATCCACAGGATTGGCAATGTCAGAAGTTATTGACTTGAGCCTTTTACAACTCAGAGTGTTAATATGGCTTTATATTTTATACCCTGTTTTTATATTTTTCTGCTGGATGGTTCAGACCAAGATAAAGCCAGACCTACATAATAAGCAGTGTAACTTTTGTATCTGCCAAGATCAGTCATAGCCCCTCAGGATTTACCCTGAAACCCTGTACCGCAGTTTGTAGATCCTCTGTCAGTGTCAACCATGTGGATGAGTCATGGCCATTGCTTGACCAATTTGCTCTCTGTGAAAGCCTGAGAGAATGTTTTCTCTCTAGGTGACTCTCCTTAGGCACATTATACATAATTGATCACTTTCCTCTGTGGCTCATAATCTCCTTGATCAGAAAATTGGGGATACCACTGACTTACAGGATGTTACAGTACAGGTTCTCTTATGTCCTGAGTCCTCACTGACCTTGAATGGCTAGGGCCAAAATGTTGGTTATCCATGTTATCCTTGTTTTTCTCTAATTTTTGGTCTGCAGACTTAAGTTGTTAACCCTCCAGAAGAGGAGCTTAATGATATTATTACCTTATAACATAGGCAGTTGAGCTTCATCTTACTATCTGTCTGAATGTCAAACATCTTAGACGTAACATGGAACAAGTATTTTCCATCAAGTACTGATATGTTAAACTTTAAATCCTTACAGAATGTGAAGGAAAAGAATTTAAAAAATAAAAGAAATATTTTTAAAAACAAGAATAAACTATCACATATTTTTACACAGAAATTTAGAAATCTAACCCTATACAGCATTGTAGCAGGACAGTCCTATGACATTTTTTTCTTTGTCTCCTGTTTTCATTTATTACTTTTTAAAAAACAAACATTTACTTAAGAGACAGTATAGCAGTAATTGATATGACATTAGAAGCCGTATGTATTTAGAAGATCAGAATGACAGGCATTCCAAGCATGGCCCTAGTATTACACATTGCTATCTTCAGGGGCAAAACCATACACTTATATGCACAAGATTGGTAAGGTAATGATCCTGAGAATCTTCAGCAAGTTTTTGAAACTAGCAATTAACTGGTAGGATTCTCACCCTGACTGACGATATATGCTGATGTACTTTTAACATGGGTTGTGAACCATGCCTTAGTAAGGTTCAGTGATCTGCTCTGTAAGACCCTCTGCACTCTGTCCTTCAGCTATTTCTGCTGCAGCTAATCATCACCAACCTGAAGGTGTGCATCTTGACCTTGTACCCTGAGGCTTCTACACTCCACACACACACACTTGGCTGCTGTGCTACGCTGTGAACTATGCAACAATAGTAAAGGACCACCATCTATGCCAGGAAGGACATTTGGAAACAGGTGCCCAAGGTGCCCCTTCTGAGGGCTCATACACAGCCACCCCTTTGTCCTTGGCCCTGACATTTCAATGTCTCATCTCAGTCTTGACATCACTTCCAACAAAAGAATATATATATATATATATATATATATATTCTTTTGATACAGGGGCTCTCTACAGACTTAGGACTCACAGTGATCCTCCTGTCTCAGCATCCCCAGAGCTGGGATTAGAGGAATGTTCCATCACTCCAGGTTCCAGGGCTGGCATGACATGTGGTACTGGGGATCAAACTTGGGTCCTTGCACTTGCCAAGCAAGTGCTTATGCCACCAAGCTATCTCCCCAGGCCCCATTACAGCTTTTAAGAAGATTCCTACCCTGAGTGACAAGGAGGTCTGGGGGATTTGTGAAACCATAGATTAATTCAGATACACAAACACAGAGCTGCATGCCCAACATATACATACACACAAAGACAACAGAATGGCACACACACTTGTGACACTGTGCTTCGTTCATGACCTGGGCCACCCATCGTACCTGCTTTCGTATGGACCACATATGAGCTTATGATTTGCAAGCACCTTTCTTTGGTTTAGATCTGTTTCTGGTCAGCTTGGACACCCACCCACTGGTCCACTCTGCTTGCATAATTTATAGACATCTCAAACTCTGTGATTCCTAAAATGAACACCCATCCTGGTCTTCCTTACCAAAGCTGCTCCTCACTGGGGTTCCTGACCAAATACATAAATGACACCATGATAGGCAAGGCTGACAGAACCAGAATCCTAGGTGCTGACCCCAAGACTTCTGCCTCTGTTCTCAGACCCAAGAAACTACAAGTGGTGTGGATATTTATCCCAAAAACATCTTTTCTGAAAAAAAAAAAACCCAAATTTTGATTACACAGAAAGAAACTTTCCTACTTCTGCTCTAGCTCCTCAGGAATTTTCCTTAGAGTATATTTACTAATAAAAAACACAATTTCCTTTTGTAAAAATTATCTGTGTACTTAATGACATGCACATATATAATTTTAATCATAGTGTCCTAGGATATAGAACAATAGTTTTTGCTTTTCTCAATGTATTTTAGTTTGTTCTGCACAAGTATGATATTTTCAAAACCTTCTATTTGTGTCTGACTCTCCAAGCTCCACTGATGTTCCCATTACCCTCCTGCACTGTAGGACTCTGTTCCCACCTGGTGCCCTCTGTGTGTGAAGCTGTGCTTTCTGTTCAGAGTCTACACTGCACCCAGAAGCACCTAGGCTCTTTCCGGAAGCCCATCCCCAACTCACCCCAGAGAACGTCATCTTTTGCTTTTTTTTTCTCCTATATTTTACTCCCCAAGTTGAATTAGTTCGAATCCTTCATAATTATCCTTCTCTTCGACATACATGGTTTATCAACCTTCTTATCAGTCTGTAACAATTCCCCTTCAATCTTTGTAAGTTTTATTCAATTTATTGGTTCCTGAAGAGCAGAGGGGTGTGTGTGTGTGTGTGTGTGTGTGTGAGAGAGAGAGAGAGAGAGAGAGAGAGAGAGATCTTGCACTCAGGGTTCTCCTTGGTTGTAGGGCTCGGTTAGTCAATAACTGCTTCATGATTCTAGATCATTTATATCATTTCTACTACAAGCTTTGCACTTTAATACAGTTATTTATTTATTTATTTAGGTATTTTTTCCTCAGCAGACTTTAACCACCACAAAGGCAAAGATGGTGCCAAACTTCTTCACTAATACAGTCTCACACACAGCAGTGTGTATTCTCTGTCACAGTGTTGACACACTGTGTTGTGAAATAAATTATCTTTAACAGAAACTTTGAATTACTCTATTTTTAGTTTAAATTCTTGCACTGACTAAAAATACACACAGTTTTTTTCTCTCTCTTTCTCTCTCTCTCTCTCTCACACACACACCCACACACACATACACACACATGCTCACCCTTGCCTTTCAATGAGGTTGGAACAATTCAAGATAAATGCATAATAACATTTGACAAAGGAAAACAATTAACGCAATTTATAAGTGGAATTTTTTTTCAGCTAAAATATGTGTTTGTGGCTGTGTATGAGAGACAGAGATGCACAAGACAGAAGAAGAAGAAAGAGAAAGAGCAAAGGCAGGAAGAAGAGGTGGAGGAGTAGAGGCAAAGGAGCTGAGAAAAGGAGCAGAGAAAGAAAGAATAAAGTTGAAGAGTGAAGAGAGTGAGGGAAGGAGGCCCCAGCAGCCGGGCCCTGACACAGAGCCCCTGAGCCCTCAGGCTCCCAGTGCCCTCTGTGAGGGGCACTAAGGTGACCTCCCTGGCCCTCACCTGCCCTGCAGAGCTGAGCCGGGCAGGGAGACCGATCAAGAACAGATGTCCAGGCCATGCCATACTGCAGGACACATGGGGAAGGGGCTGCAGGCTAAGGACCAACCACACAGCGAGTTCTCATCTTGGCCTCTGAGGGGGCTCGGGCCCAGGAAAGAGTCGGTGCTGAGCAGCCTAAGGTCCCCAGGAGTTATGCTTCCCCC